CAGTGATTCTAGAGAGGAACCCAGACATGTCCGCAGTGATTCTAGAGGAACCCAGACATGTCCACAGTGATTCTAGAGGGGAATCCAGACATGTCCGCAATGATTCTAGAGAGGAACCCAGTGTCACACTGACATTCATCGAGACATAGAGCGGTGATCAGTGCAGTCGCTTTGCTAAATGTGTGTTACTAAAAACGGAGAAAACTACTCAGTGTTTTCTTCAACTTCCTTAACTTTGTGGTCACTAGCAACATGATCGACCTGCATCAGAAACTTGTAGGAGAAAACACAAGCAGCCACTTGTAGTTCTTGTGGTCTCCAGACAGCTGCAGTCGTCCCAGAGTGTAGTTACCTATTTGAAAAATACAACAACAATAGATTTTGATAGTAAGCACCAGTGACAGGGCTACAAGATTCAAAATCTTAAGGCCCTTTTCATTTCAGTGATGTTTGTGTGTGTGTGTGTGTGTTTCTCAGGGTGCATTCTGGGGTCTGATGGCTGGACTGGTGGTGGGACTGATCCGCATGGTGCTAGAGTTCTCCTATGAAACTCCCTCCTGTGGTCAGCCTGACGGTCGCCCTGCCATCCTGGCTGATGTTCACTACCTGTACTTTGCTCTCATCCTATTGGCTCTTACCTGCCTCATCATTGCTGCTGTCAGCTTGGCCACTGCCCCAATACCTAAAGAACATGTAAGGACCACGTCTTACATTGATGGACACAAGTATTCAGCACCCCTGTCTATGCTGTGTGACTCCTCAGAGCTATCTGTGCAGCTCTGTATTAATCTCTTAATCTCTTAACATTCATATTGGACAATTCAATGCCAACGTTCAGCTGGACCAAGACGCAATAAAGAAAATGGAAGGACTGTTACGATGCTTGTTAAAGCACTGCACAAGCAAATGTACGGTGGCCCTGAGAGCTCAAATCAACAAAACACAAGCAAATCAAGAAAACCTCTTCACCAATTTGACATTCGCAGCAAGTAGTACCAGTAGTGCAGTAGTGACATGGTTTCTTGGCTTATTACGTTCTTGAAGTTACCAGCAATGACCGTCATGTGTTTGAGTTTGCTCCCCTGAACACATTGGGGTCCTTTATACTAGTGTCACTGAGCTAATCCACTCCACTGTTTGGCTGTGTTGTGACAGACACAAGGCATTGTGCTTTCTGCAGTCCTTGTCCCTGAATATGGAAAAGTAAATCCTTCACAAAGGTGTGCTTGATATTTCATATGAAGGTACTTGTTTTCAGTGTGAGCAGAGCAGGAATATAGTTCCAGGAACTCATCCTCAAACAGGTGGAGAAGAGTGTAAACCAAAACTGAACCAATGACAGTGTCTACACAGTGGAAAGGGGCTAGTCTGCTCTGTCAATGTGATCCTGTACCACATGTATGTATGAGCTCACCCTCCTCTCTCCTGTCCAGCTGCACAGGCTGACCTGGTGGTCCAGACACAGCCGGGAGCCTCGTATCGACCTCACGGGTCCCCCGATGACCTCTGACCCCAGCCGGGACTCTGAGCGCTTGCCAGAATCCTGTTGGCTGAGAGGAGCTCTGAGGCTCTGTGGTCTGACTGGTCCCAGCTCTGCCTCGGTGGCTCCAGCAGTTGAAAACAGCGAGCTGGACTCGCTGCAGGAGGAGCCGCTGTGGAGGAGAGTCTGCGATGTGAACGGCCTGCTCCTGCTGGCTGTTAACGTGTTTCTGTGGGGATATTTTGCCTAATAACTTGTTATCGGTAAAGTTACATTGATGTACTGGACGGTGGTCAAACCAATCAGCTGCTGTGCTGGATCTGTCTTATATGCACCAACAGACAGTTCATCTCATCAGGAAACACGTATAGTAGTAATGATCATGGAACACATTTAACCAGTCAAGGTCCATAATTGACTTACAAGGACACGTTTTAACACAGTAACAAAAGACAGCTGGGAGAACATGTCCCTCTCCCTGACCCTCAGACCCAGCGGTGGCAACATTTGAGAATTCTGGAAAACAGAAAGAAATTCCCTGCAATTTACAATCCAGAATACTAATCACTTCCAAGATTCATAACATGTTCTTTGTCTCATGAAAAATCCTGCTTTAAAGCCATATTTGTTCATTTGACTCCCACACAATCAGAACAAATGATCGATGGTCTGTCTATCCACACACCACTCAGTACTCATGAAGCTAGACAGCCCTGAGACATCTCAGATACAATATACAGAAACCTAACCACCACACAGCAGGACTGATGGCTTGTTATAAGATTAGAACATGATATTTCATATGCTCTTGTATTCTTGTAATAATTTAAAGTGAGCTTTTATATCATTTGTATAAGTCTGTGTAACTGAAGGTACCATCATCTGTGTGAGAGTGTTTGTGGAGGTCAGACAAGAACATTGATGTCACTTACACTCACTTAACACACTTGCTTGTTAGTGTACTTTACATACATTTTAGTAGAGAAGATTTGTGTACTTTTGTCCTTCTTTTTGTATGACAAACACAAAAATCACAATCACATATAGGAAAGTGCTGCAAGTAGCACAGACGACAACGGGAACTGTTTCTAGGCAACACTAGCATGTATTTTCGTCTTATTAAAGTTCTTGAAGTTACCAGCAACGACCGTCATGTGTTTGTTTGCTAAAGACACACTTCAATGTTGAATAAGCATAGACTAAGAACGTGTGAGTTCCTACCACAGCCCAAAGACATGCAGCTAAGGTTGATTGATGAGTGAGTGTGAGGTGGACTGTGCACCTGCCCATCAGGCCTCTAACATTCATACCCATTCACACACCACAGGAACAGCCTACATTGGGGTTAGTAGTTGTTCTGCCCATGATTCATGAACTAGCAGAGCTGGGGATTGAACCGCTGTTCCTCTGATTGAAGGAGGACCCTGCTCTACCACTGAGTCTTCATGTGTCCGTCCTGTGATAGTTTTTATGACCTGTCAGCTGAGATCGGCTCCAGTCCCACCCTGAACAGGATAAGCGGTTAAAAGTAATGGATGGATGGATTCCAGTTCAAAGAACTGTTCACTAAGTACAAGCCCCGCCCGCATGCAACGCACCTCGAACTCCTCCCACTCTCAGCCAATGAACAGCTACAACTACTTTTTACACGACTTTTGTTTTTACTCTGTTATGGATGCAACTTAAATGTCGCAAAGTACAACACCTGAGATAAAAAGTAAAAATAAAATGCCCTTTAAAAAAACAAAATACCCAAGTGAGTATCCCAGAAAGAAGACAGCTGATCTGTATCTGTAAATAATAAGGTGAATGCACATAAATACAATCGGTCTTTGAAACATAGTGTCTTAAAACAAGTTACGTTTCTATTATAGAAACAAATGCTGTGTTTGGCTGCCAGATCAAATGAATTCAAGCAGTTGATTATTCAGATATTGTATATATGCATGCAGGCACATCTTCACAAACATTAGATTCATACATCATGCTGCGTTACCATTTGTCTCCGATTCATGTTTCCACATATTGCAGTTTGAATGAGAAAGTTGGTTGTAGATGAGAACACTGTAGATTTTTCAGCAGAAGGTGCCGTTACACCATCTACCTCCTTATCCATGTTCTCTACCGACTCCTTTACAACCTTCAGTCATCCTGACAAACTGTGTCCATCGTTGGTAGAACCGGCTGTTCTTGGTCAAAGATATCCATCGTCTGACCACATCCACCATTCTGATCCATGCTCCATTATACATATCAAGAGAGGCAATGAAGCAAATGTTACTTTTCCACTTTTTATTTGATATTGTTCTGTCATTTACATTTCCAGTGATGGAAGTGTTCTCTTTACTCTTCGGTTTGATAGCTTGATGTTTCTGCAGCCTTATCTTCAAACTAGATTAGAAGTTTATAGAACAGGATTGTGATCGATCCGCCGGCTGAATGCACTCGTTACTGAACACAGCTCCTCCTTTGATGTGATTCAGTTGGTTTAGGTCTGCTGCTGCATGAACACTGGATCTGGATCGTCTGCCTACAAGGTGTAACATTTCATCAGCTTATTAGCAGAACTATGTAGATGTTTGACAGATTCTATATGGAATTTATGCAACAATTCATAAACATAACATTATCAGAATGATTGTTGAACTTGACCAGTAGTTCAAAATAATCCGTTTAAAATCTACAAACGGTTGAACCTCAAGTTATACATTGACTCAATGTTACAAATACTCTCAAATAAAGTGCTACTGATCATTTCTTATGTTCGTTCTTTTATGTGAAACTTTTATTGCTGCAGAACAATAAAAAAACCAGTAAACGTAATTTCCTTCCACCGAGAGTGATGTCATGTGAAACGTGTCGTAAGCAGAAGTAAAGTAATGAGACAAACATCACGTTTGTTTTCCAGAATATGGATATGAAGTGTTTATTCTGTCTTCTGTTGACGAAGAAAAAGAACTTTACAAAGTAACAATTCAACACCAGACTCAACTGTTTTTATACGGTCTGTTACCAAAGCCTGCAGAGATCTGACAATGGGGGGGGGGGGCTACGATAGCATGTTAACAGGGTTGGCTCAGTGTGGAGCTTCCTTCTTCAACATGGAATGTTGATGTGGAATGAGCCGATGAAGACGTACAGCGGATCAGAGAACACATGGGACACGCACCTCATCAGGACCGATGTGTCACACAGCCGGGGGGGGGGGGGGGGGGGGGGGGG